ACACTATGTGTTCTTTTGCTTGCTAGGGGTTATGAGAGTCATGATTTGGAGACGTCGTCAGAAAAGATTCTATGGAGGTGAGAAGTTCACTTCTTCCCAACTGATCTTGTACTTTAAGCATCAGCTTAAAGTCAAGATTAAGACAGAAAAGCATTGACTCTCTTCATCAGAATTTGGCAAAAGGTGGATGAATCTTGTGTGTTGAGTAAAAAGGACTGACTTGGAGTGACACTGATGCCAGTTTGGCATCAGGATATTGTTCTCCCTGTATTGAACTTAGGCAACCCCGCCCAAAATTAGGTTAGTTTGGGGTTGTTTTTTTTTTTTCTTCAATTTCTTCATTTCAGTTAGCTAGGGTATGTTTGTTCATTGGCCCTTTTTATTTCTGTCCCCATTTTTCTTTGGTTTAATTCTCCATCCCCTCCCTCGTTAGATGGTCAGTGATGTCAGTTCTCTGATGGATGTGAGGCGCCTTTCATTTCAAGTGTGTATTTCGTATTTGTTGTTGTGTCTGAACAAGTGTGCTTTGTGTGAGTACTTGGGATGAATGAATGTTTTATATTATAGTCCTGCATTAATTTCGTCCAGTGAACTGATGTTTCTGCCACCATTAAGGATTGTTAAGAGCTTTATTATTAACACTATTTTGTTTAGTTTCTTGTATATAGTTTTGTTCATTTTTGTAAATATTCATTGAGGTTTAGATTTTTAAATTATTATTTTATCCCCCCACCAAACAATGAATTGTACATATGGGGACTAGTTAAGACTTTCATAGAGACATTGTGGTATTATGGTGGATGTAGTAAGAATGGTAAGTAAGAATGTGTTGTTTTGGTGTTAGGAATATTGTGGTATATTTGGGTCAGTGATTGTGGCTAGCTAAGTTTAAATTTAAAACAGAAGACTGTCCTTTTCCCCATTCTGGCCTTGTACCACATTTTGTAATTTTTACAAATAAATATCACTCTTTGCTATGGTACCTAGACTTTTTAAAATTTAAGTGCAGTACTAGACTGGTGTTGAGATCATCAATTTACAGTCAAGTTGGTTAAATGTAACCATAAGTTCTATGTTAAGTTTGTTTTTTTGTCGCACTTCTTGCTTGTGGAACTCCTTTCTGGCTCCATGCTTTCCAGCCAACTTTAATCTGCAAAAATTTAAATGCAATGTCAATCACTACCTCCTGTCCTCCTAATTACTCTTTTTGTTCTCGCTCATTAGTAATGTTTCTGTTTCTAATTCTTCTACACCCAGTAATCCTTTGTATCAGATTTACTTTCCAGTCTTCGTTGGTGTGTACTTAATTTAAGAAAAAAAAAAAAAAAAAAAAAAGTAAAACTAAGGGCTTCGACTCAAATACAGTGACTGTCATTGAATTAGAACAAAAACCACATCCATCTAAAGCACTTGCTAGACAAATGTTACTTGGTTGCTTGTATCTGAGTATGCTTGTCTATTAGGATAGCTAGCCAATCCCTGTTGCAGACACCTTGATCAGGCACACTTTATTCAATACCCAGAGCCCACCTGTGGTTTATACTGCAACTATGGTGAGCAGACCTTTGTTACAGTTTCTGGAAAAGAGTGTATTATCTGGCATGATCAATAGTCTGAATAATGCACTCAAACCCTTGATCACAATGACTTGTAATTTTGTGCTAACACAACCATTGATGCCTCTCAAATAGTTTTGCTGATCCATTTTCACTCACAAGCATTGGGTTAACCCATGGTTTTAATTTTAAAGACACTTTCCAAGTGCTGCATGCTGGGGCCACCTCCTCAGGTCAATAACATCAAGAAGTCACCTTACTGACAAATTGACCATGGTGAGATTTGGACCTGGGTCTTCTGGTAGGAAAGTGAACATCCTAATCAGTTGGCCATATGGACAAATATTAGTTGAGATAAAAGAAACAGATAAGTATGAACATATGACTGGGTCCCTCAGTCAAATTTTCACCAATTAGACAGTTTCATACCACAATCTTTCAATTTTTGTCTGCATTGGTGTGGAAAAAAAAAAAATAAGGGGTGGGGGTCAGGTGAATAGATAAAAATAAGGGGGGGGGGGAATCAGGTGAATAAAAAAAATAAGAAGGGGGGGTCAGGTGAATAGGAAAAAATAATAAAGGGGGGTCAGGTGAATAGAAACAAATAAGGAGGGTGGGGTCAGGTGAATAGAAAGTGAAATATCACCAGTGAAAGAAAACACGAATCCTGTTTTCATTATACCAGGTTCTTCATTCATGGATTCACCTAGTACTGTCTGTGAGTAGGGAAGCGTCACACTTGGGACATCTTCACTGTTAATAACTATCTTTTCTCATGACAAACTAATGAATCAGATCTTCCCTTCAACCAGCAAAAACTCCAACTACTCCTTTGCCCATTGACTTTCATTGCCCCTGTCTACTTTTCGATGGATAGCTTGTGACTGGCTACCTCTCAACATCTTGACAGATGGCTTGTAACTAGCCATTATAAAAAAACGCAGCCTGTGAAAATTCCCTCCCTACTGGGCTAGTAGCACTTAATTCCCAAAATTTTCATCCAGTCATGTAATTCATTTCCTTTTCTCTAATTCTGGACAGCAGGTGGTTGCTGCGATGCTCCCACATCTCAATTTTACCATTTTACAAAAAAAAAAAAAAGAGCTGGTGCATCAGGCCCAGATAGAATCATTTACAGTTCCCTTGGTTATGTGGGTGTCTTAAGCCAATCAAGCGGGGACCCAAAATGATGCTTATTGAGTGTTGGTGTTAATAAAATAGTGCTCAATGTAAAATATCAGAGCTATAAGTTATACATTTTATTCCTCACTGGTAGTGTGACACTGGAAACTCCGGGGGCTAATCAAACAAAAATAGGAAAGAAAGAAGGAAGGAAGAGGAAAGAGTCTACTAACTGGATGATAATTATTGAAATTTGCAGGAAGATCAATTAAAAAGATAAGAAAATCGAAATGAATTGAAAAATCATGTTTTGAAATAATTCCAAGGAGAAATGAATCCAAATTTGATGGAATTCAATAAGCTTGAGCATGACCAAGACTACTCGTACTTTCCGCTTATGAGAAAGAGACCTTTAATGTATCCTCAAAGATGCCAAATAGAAAAAAAATGTCAATAAAGAAACCTGGGTGGTCACCAAAATAACATTTAAAGATCTTTCTGGACAAAGAGCAAGGAAAAACCATCTGGTTTGAATCAGCCACCCAGAAGAAAAATGTTCCTACAAAGATAGAGATTAGCCTGACAGATTTGTTCATTTTAATTTCTGTGACATTTATCAAAAATTTTATATTCGGCATTAATTTGGATTCCTTTGGATAGAAGTGATAAAGAAAAATTAATTACTAGCCTTTGAGTGACCATAGGCAGTCGACCAAGTGGTCTGTTCAACCGAGAAACCACCAGTGTGAGACAAGCTGATAACCAAAGATTAATGACCTACTCATTCTGAAAATTTGGATTCATCACAGAGACATTGTGTTGGCTCTTGGAGTTGGGTGAGGTAAGATGAAAGAGAGATATTGCCTATATGGGGTGATGGCACAAGATGAGGTGTCAAGGGAATTGGAGTTAAGGTGTGGCTTGATTCGTCTGACCACTCTCAAAAGGTGGTTGGACAACCCCCAAATTTGGAAAAAATCACTCGAGTAAACATTTTCAGAAAAAGGTTGATACTAAGGGTGGAAGATAACCAAACCCAAATCCTGGTCAACCCAACCCCTGCCGAACACAGGACTCCATATAAGTTGGAAGTTTGGACAACTTGAAGGGTCCCCACACTACTGTCATTGGAATGTATTGTTCACTGAAATGTCTTGACAAAGACCTTGTGTTGGCCCTTAGACCAGAATTTAGAAATTTAAATTACTACTAACACAAGCTAAAAATTCCAAAAGGGTCTCCCAGTGTCATTTAATTTTAACAGTAAGTGGGAAGGGTTAAAACAGCTGTACAGAACAAATTATATATAAACCAAATCATTGTTACATTTTTAACCAGAGTTAATTCTTTATTCCAAAGAATTCTTGAGATCAAAAACACATAACAGAGGAGTAAAAGATTATGAAGGAGACAAATGCCAGTTAGATCGAGTGAAACCATTCTAATCAACATAATACTAGTGACCAATCAGTAATATATTAACAAGTGAGGGTCAGCTAGATGGTAACCATGGTAGTTGGAATTCAGGGAGTTGGTTATATTATTGTTTGTCATTGACCAGGATCGACTCATGGGTACAGTAGCATTTAAAAGTGTAAATAATAGATATTGGGGTTGAAATGTCGAAACTGATTACGACATATAATTGATGCTGCCAAGTACAAACTGTCTGGATCAAGATATTAAAAAAGTCTTACTTTTTATATTGTTAGTTCATTCACTACAAGGCCCAAAAGCCACTTATGGTAGAGGGTTACTAATCAAGAATGTTGTAAGAGAGGAGTAGGAGGGAGTGAGAAATGTATATTATGAGGACATACAGCATAGATATGGCACAGTGGGTCCTAGCTGTAAATGTCTGAGCTGGCAGAACTAAGGATGTAATTTGTCCGAACATCTGTTATATCAATAGTGATAGAGTAGTGAGAGGTAAGTAATATTTTATCTGTGGGACAAGGGTTGTAGGTTGGAGAAAAATTCATCACCTACAAGGCTGCATGATTGCTTTTGAATTCTGTTGAGGCTGGACAGGGAAGATTGTGTAGCACCAGCCCACATATGGTAGCAATACTCAATTCTTGGCCTGATCTGATTCCTGTAATGATAGAACATGGCAGCAGAAGTCTGGTATTTTCTGACACGATTCAAGGAACTGACCATTCTTTCAGCATTTTTTGTAATGGCACAAATATGTACATTCTGTTTGAGGTCAGGTGTGGGCTTTAGACCCAATGGACATTAGCGTGAAAAGAACATGTAATAGTTCTGCTGTAAATAACCTAATATTATTCCCTGTAAATCTGTATTAAGATATAGTCTTACCTATACGGTCAAACAGTTCCCCTCCACAAGCATACTCCAGGAAGATGTACTGTACATTTCCAACCGTACGGCTGCCATAAAATCGAATTACATTGGAATGTTTCAACATCTTGTGGATAGCAATCTAAAAAAAGAAAAAGTCATTGGATCAAAAATTTACCAATATATATATATATATATATATATATATATATACACACACACACACACACACACACAAGTGTTACCAGTTTGTGACTGGTAGGGATAATTCCAAGGATGAGATTAATCCAGGGAGAGCTCAATGTAGTCTACAAAGCATAATAATGAAGAAGAAAACTTTATTCATTTCAATTATAATTTATTTCGTGAATACTGAAATATCTCTTCAGATTGAAATCTCCTAAGTAAATGGAGACAATACACCAAATGGATATATCAGATTGATAGTGAGGAGGGAAAGCAAGAGATGAGATAGAGGTGGGGGGGTATGGAAAAGAAAGAGTTAAGGAAGTAATGGCTGGGTAGTAGTAAGCTTAAACTGGCTGACCCGGCCAAGAATTTTTCCTATAAAGTTTGGAACTTTTTATATTGGGTTATACAGCAAATTGACCGATATGGCCTGTTGTTTTAAGCAGAACAAACCAACTTAATTCCAAATTAGTTAATCTAATGAAAGAGTCCTAATGCAAATAATAATTAGAGATTATAATTATAATACCTAAATATTCATCTCTTCAGACTGAAATTTCTTAGTCAATGTAGACAATATAATGGACAGATAAATTAGATTGATAGGGGGAAGGGAACACAAGACAGAAGACACGAGAGAAGAAGGGAACACAAGACAGAAGACACGAGAGAAGAAGGGAACACAAGACAGAAGACACGAGAGAAGAAGGGAACACAAGACAGAAGACACGAGAGAAGAAGGGAACACAAGACAGAAGACACGAGAGAAGAAGGGAACACAAGACAGAAGACACGAGAGAAGAAGGGAACACAAGACAGAAGACACGAGAGAAGAAGGGAACACAAGACACACAAGACAGAAGACACAAGAGAGAAGACACGAGAGGGAAGAAAACACAAGACAGAAGACACGAGAGAAGAAGGGAACACAAGACAGAAGACAGAAGGGAGAAGAAGGAAACACAAGACAGAAGACACGAGAGAAGAAGGGAACACAAGACAGAAGACACGAGAAGAAGGAACACAAGACAGAAGAGAGAGAAGAAGACAGAAGACACAAGACAGAAGACACGAGAGAAGAAGGGAACACAAGACAGAAGACACGAGAGAAGAAGGGAAACACAAGACAGAAGACACGAGAAGAAGGGAACACAAGACAGAAGACACGAGAGAAGAAGGGAACACAAGACAGAAGACACGAGAGAAGAAGGGAACACAAGACAGAAGACACGAGAGAAGAAGGGGAAGGCTCTTTTAAAAAGATGAGATGGAGAGGAGGGGGTTAAGGAACAGAAAGGATTAAAGAAGTAATGAATGGGTAGTAGTAAGCCTTAACAGACTGACCCAGCCAAGAATTTCCTTAAAGTTTGTAACTTTGTACATTGGATTATACAGCAAATTGACTGATATGGTCCGTTGTTTTAGGCATGACCAACCTACACAATTCCAAATTAGTTAGTTTAATGAAAGAGTCCTTAATACAAATAATAAGTAGAAATTACAATAATAATAGTAATAATACTACCAGACATGAAAGAAGGGATTTTAATTACAGATAAATAAAATACACACTTACACTATATATATATTATATATAAAGTACAGTGCCTGTGTGTATCCAAGCAACTCCTCTGCTCCCACTGGTACGATTTCAATGATTGATAACTCATTCAAAGGCCCTAGAAAAATTAGGCGCAGGGAATGATTTTCGTTGAGCTCAAATTCAGGGTTGCCAGATTATGCAAGGTTAAAAATATATATTAATATATTATACTAGCCATTATCATTGCTTTCATGGTTCAAGAGGAGTAACTAGTTTTTCTTTTGTATCCAAAATTGCAGTGCATATTTTATTATAAACTAGCTTAAAAGCTGTCCTATCAGGCAGCATTTAAGCTAGCTCCTGTGGAGGACTCTTAGTTCAGCCATCATCACAAGGGAGGAGTAGATGCAACAGGCATCGATAATCTACAGAAGAACTCAAAATTGATCGCTGCATTTAAGTATTGAATTAATGTTTAAGTTTACCTTTTAAAAGTTCAACAATAATCCTTCTGCTGCCACTTAATTTAAAGATGATTTGATGTACATAGATCCTTATTTTCTGTACAAACAATTATTGTTATTTCATGGGTGACAAAACAGGACAATTTATAAGATAAAATTAATATAGAGTAAAGATGGGAAAATAGAAATTATAATTAGTTATGCATTTAATATTTGAAGAGATAGAGAAACATAATAGCTAATTAAGTAAAACCTATATTATGGAATCTATACAAATAAATGCAAAATTGGACCACAATTATCCAACGAATTCTGGAATTAAAAAGCTTCAACTCTATAGTAATTTATACGGTGTTTACTCGTTCCCCCACCAGAACGTGATGTGACACAAGGTCCTTTTAATGTGGGGGACCCGAGCACATACATTCGGGCATCTCTTCAGTATTATTTTCTCAGTTGCCCCTTTGACAGAGAAGGCCCTGAGCGCACTCTGCCCAAAGACAGAGATGCAACTGAGAGATGATAAATAATACGTACAAATTACTTTTATACAGTGTTTACTCATTCCCCCACGAGAATGAAATGTGTCACAAGGTCAGATTAATGTGGGGACAAGAGTAAAATTAGTACTAAAATAATCGAAATAAAAATGAAATGTATTGACCCAGAGTGTTTGGATAAAAGCAAAGATGGTGTCAAACTATAATGCATTAATATTTGAAACAAGTTGCTTATATTCAATGATAATTTTTTTTTTAATTCTCATTTTCAATTGCCCCTCCACATGCACACACTTCAACCAGTCCTTTGAGTTTCCTGAATAATTTGTATTTTATTTTATCTGGTGTAAAGTTTGCTGTTGGACTTTTCAGCTCAACAACATACTTGACACTGAACAAAAAAAGGGATAGTCCCCACCCCCCAAAAATTATATATTTCCTATTACTATAAATGTTATTTTTAATGGGTACATGTGCTTGAGTTGATGTCCCTATTTTTTTTATTTTCTTAAGCAATGAAATTAATATCAACTGGCCTAATCCGAGAATACCTACTGAAGAAAAATGTTCCCCCCAGCAGGAATTAATATAATTGGTATAAAATGACAATTGGAAAAAAATCTTAGATTTTGCCGACGTGTTTCGTCTGACTTTTTCAAGGCAAAAATGAAGTCGAAATGTCTTTGTTGTTATAGTTACATTAAAAAATCCAAATTTAAAAACATAGACGCTTCTGTCTAAGCCTTTTTCTGGTTAATGTAAATTTCCTTTATACTAAGAGATTTTTTTTTTTTTTTCGATGTCGGCAAAATCTAAGATTTTTTTCCAATTGTCATTTTATACCAATTTGTCTTGTCCACAGAACTAATCTGGGAATATAACTGTATTGTCGACATGTGGGGAAAAAAAAAAAAAAATCTCTTAGTATAAAAGAAATTTACATTAACCAGAAAAAGGCTTAGACAATAGCATCTATCTTTTTAAATTTGGATTTTTTAATGTAACTATAACAACAAAGACATTTCGATTTCATTTTTACCTTGAAAAAGTCACAAGACAAAACGCAACAGCAAAATCTAAGATTTTTTTTCCAATTGTCATTTTATACCAATTTGACTTGTCCACGGAATTGATTTGGGAATTTAACTAATATATATAAAACTTCGTTAGCAGTACACAATCTAGACTAATAAAACTGAACAAGGTCTAATCTCAAAAAATATAATTAAAAAATAACTGATGAACTACTAATCACAACATGTACTAACCTTTGGAAGGATTCGTCAGATACTATCAAATGGTTCACCAATATGAGTAATAAGGATAAAGCAATGTTCATTAAGTTTTACATAATAGATTTCTATTTCTGTATCTCTAGGGGCCTCCTTGTTAACAGTATTAACTTTGCAAAAAACTATAAGGAGATAATGGATGATGAAACTAATATCATCTTAATGGCTAGAAAATCACTGCTAACACTGAATAATTCCACCTGGACTAAGTGCCACAATGACAAATTTGATGTCCCCATGAGAGTGTATGACAGCCCAGACTGCTGATTTAGTATGTTTTTATATTTTAGATATGCTTAGTAGAATCATAAAACTGGAACTAGTAGGAGTATATAGGGATGACGGACACATCTTCATCCCCAATAGTAATGGTCCACTAACAGTGAAGAATTTTTCAAAAGAAAATTATTAGGGCTTTTAAATTTCTAGGGTTTAAGATTTCTTCTAACCTTAAAATAGTTGACTACCTAGACATCACCCTTAACCTTAATGATAAAACCTTTAAACCTTACCATAAAGAAAATGAAACCCCCAACTTCATTAACTATTACCACATCACAGGCGACAATAGTCGTGATAGAATTCTCTCCCTTTGCTACTCTAGGTGCATTCTGTCGCCAAAGATGGTTGCTATAAATAAACATTTGTCAACTGTTATTTCCAGTACCTTAAGCTGGAAATTGCCTACTACTGCTTTGGAACAAGATTAAACTTCCATTTTCCAACACCATTTTGAATTCTTCTAGACTCTACACGAGGTGTAACATTGATTAAACCCACGTTAATTTTTTGCGATTGTTTTGTAAACAAAAATGGTCATGTCAATATCCAACAAAGCCTTTATTCAGGAGTTTTTCTTTGATTAGGATTCGATTGATGATTTTGAAGGCTTTACTTGAGTGGATATTGATGGTGAAGTGGTTAGAGATGATAATCACACTAGTGACGTGGAGGAAAACGATGATGACCACTAGTGACTACTATTATCCCTGCCTGAGTAATCTTATGAAAGCTACTGGCAACCATCGATATATGATGGTCTTTCTGAAGACGAATTTTGTCTATTTATAAATGATGAAATAACTTTATTTATCAACAAAACAAATATGAATCAGATGAAAGAAAGAGCAAACAAATGCTAGTGTCTTCTCGTA